ATAAACGTGGTTTACTAATTTTAACTTTCGCCGCCACGCCACGCTGATCGCAATGGGTTTGGCGCAATGCGTGAAGTATTCCTACAGTCTTGTAGGCGCTATGCGTTTCACGCCGACCGCTACTGACCGCACTGTGTTAGACGCAATGTGTTAAGTATTCATGCAGTCTCGCAGGCGCTATGTGTTTCACGCTGACCGCACTGTGTTTGACGCAATGCGTGAAGTATGCATGCAGTCTTGTAGGCGCTATGCGTTTCACGCCGACCGCGACCGTTGCTGACCGTACTGTGTTTGACGCAATTCGTCAAATACAGCTGTCAAATGCTGTTTGAAGTATTCATACAGTTTTATAGGCGCTAATATGTCTTACACGCCGACCGCCGCGCCGAGGGCTTCTCCTTTTCATTTCAAGTCCTCGTCATCATTGCTCTCTATGCCGCGCCGTTCCTGGCCAAATTGCGTGTTTGGTTTCTCTCTTAACTCGACTAATTAAAGGTGCTGTCTCTTGTTTCATCGAGAGACGACAAAATTAGAAGTTACTATACTCTCAGGACTTGAGAGATTTTATCACATTTGCTCGTTTGTAATTTTTTTCTCTGAATCCGATTTTTTTTATAACTTTATTTAAAAAAATTTCAAAATTTGCCGTCATGGGCCGCGGCCCATGTGGCCATCCCCTAAATTCGGCCCTGATTCTCATACGTAGAAGTAGTAAGACAAAATAAATAAATAAAAGTAAGAGTCAGTTATATACCTTTTGCAAAAAAAGCGTCATTAGTTTTCATTTTGTAGTATACGCGCATTTTTTACGCACTTGGAATAAAGAGTCACTATATTTTTTTTTACGAACATGAATACAAACATGAAGCCTTTTCAACAAAACGTATGCCAATTACGCTCTTAATACCGAATTGTTTATTCTTCGTATCTCATACACCTCAAAGTCGTTTCACAAAGAGCGAGGTATTTAAGTCATTTTAGAAAATTATTGTTCGAACCTTCCTTCCAAAACATTCCATGTTCTAATCGTTGGCCAAAAGACTAAACATTTAAAGCTCTATCTTGGAGAGAATACAAAAATTGTCGGTGTCCCCGAAAAATGAAACTCGGCCGAAAATAGGTACATCAATGTTACATCGATAAAATCAATGTTTCATCAATAACATCAATGTTATATTCTGCTGTGCTAAGAAAAACGCCGCATAAGCATTCAAATGCCAAATTCCTTCTCAGAAAATATTTATTTCTTAGAAAAATCGGAGGAAACATTCTTTAAAAAAATCGTAATTCGTCGAAGAAAATTTGGCAACGCCCGAGAACCCTTGCGACGTTCCTCCTTAGCAAGGCAGTAAAGAATCATTTCCAATAGCACGCCTCCTCTTTGCGAAAAATAGGCGATATACGTTCACGTCCGTAGCTGGTCCATAGATAAAAAAAAAAAAAAAAAAAAAAAAGATACCAAGGAAAAATGTAGGATTAAGACGAAAATTAGGCGAATATCAGTGACAGAAGAATTTCCGATTCCGCTCGTAAGTAGCTCTGACACGGCCAATTAAATCGGAACCATTTCGCTCTAAAATCCGCCGATCGCGAAGCAATTCAACTGCGAACCGCAATTTAACCCGGTGGGATTACGCTGGATATTGCACTGAAAACAATCTCTCGACTCAGGTAACCCATTCTGCTACACCAAGGAAAAACCTCATTTGAGAATCCGGACGCCATCACATCTCCTCTGATATGATATGAATTTTCTGGGAAAAAGTATTTTTTTTTACTTTCACTGGAGAAAAAACACATTGTATCTAGAATCCAGACTCTTATAAACATTGGCAAGAAAAAATACTCTTGATTCAATCAGATTTTTGCTTGAATCAACAAGAAATCCGCTCAAATTAAGAGGCTTGGTTCTTGATTTAAGCAAAAATCCGATTGAATCAAGAGTATTTTTTCTTGTCGATGTTTTTAAGAGTCTGGACTCTAGATCCAATGTATTTTTTTCCAGTGTTGCTGAATATTCTTAGGTCAAATTTTCATGGAAATTTGTGATACTATTTACCATTCAGTTTTTCAGAGATTTTTATTCGCAATTCAATCTGAAGCATCTGAAACTTCAAGGAGATATATTTTCAAAAATAATGCTTTTATTGAAGGAAATCCGGCAACGTCTGAATGTTCAAACGTCGTTTTTCCTTAGCACGGCAGAGTGTAATGGCCCAGGTACGACCCCAGGACAATCTTAACGAAGACGAAAATATTATTTGACCAGCTGGATATTTTTGTTGTCGTACAGCGCGTCATTTTTCACCTCATCTCTCGCGGCATTACCCACTTTCTTAATTACCGCTCCCCAAAAGGATTTTCACACCTGCAGTTGCGAGGCGTGAATAAACGAATATCGATATTCCCTCATTTGAAGCCATGGCAAAGAATCGATTATTAGGGCATCGACCCTTTTCGTTGGTTTAAACGGCAGATCGATCGATTTATCGCGAAGAACGATGCCGTTTTGCGACGGCCCTTGACCCATTGTCGTTTGCTCCCGGGCCGGTATGCCACCGGGACGAGTCAATTAAATTCGTAGTTTGTTGATCCTAAATCTCGGATCGTTTTAAAATCGAATGTGCCAAGTTTCTTGGACCGAGAGACTTCCTTTCGAGCAACGGATTTGAACGTGGCGAAGCTTCGCACGAGTGTGCAACTGTTCCGTCTTATCTTCGTCTGCTCATACAGGACGGTTCATGGGCGTTCGCTGCAATCATGTGAAAAAATTCGCGAGTAATCAAATTTATTTTTGAGGGTCGGCAATTATTGGTCACTCTTTTCCTTCCTTCCACTCTATAACGATCATTTTTCAACATTTTTATGCGCTTCATTTTCGTTTAGAGCTCTCGCACCTTCGGAATCTTATCTACCTATGTCCTGAATTTTGTAGTATTTTTTGGCTTTCCGATGTTTCGGAAAGGTAATAGGTCGAAATGTCCAAAAAAAAATGTCCAAAAGTCAAAAACAGATGCGTCGGATAATGGAGATGTGCAGGTTAGGACAAAATGGTGAAAAAATTTTTCATGAGAACAGGCAAATTCTTACTTATAAAAATGCATTAAAGATTTATTTTCCAACTTTTAAGTGATATTATTGACAAACATAACAAACATGGCTAAGACTACCCCGTTTGTTATGAAAAGCAAAAAAAAAAGTATTCTTGCCCATAACAACTTCCTATATCAACGTCACTCTGCTTATAAGGACGATTACTCTTTCCATTCATTTGGACATTTGCTTACTTTTGGACTTATTTGCCTGCTGGACATTACAGATATTTGGCCTTTTTAGATTTTTGGGCATTTAGGATTTGGACAGTTTGACTTTTGGACATTTTTTTGGACATTTTGACCTATCACCTTCTGAAAAGAAACTTGTCAAAAATCCACTTTTTTTTAATTATTTATTTCAATATCATCTACTACCACAAGAGAATAATTCTAGCTAGAGCGCAATTCAGCTATGCATTCACGAATGCAAAAATGTCGAAGGAAATCGACAAGCCTAGCGTGCATGGAGGCTATTTCCATTTTAATCTTCTATAAAAACCACCCATTTGCTAAATACAATTCTAGCTGAAGCGCACTTAAGCTCTGCATTCATGACTGCAAAAATGTGAACGGAAATTGAAAAGGACAGCGTGCATGAAGGCTATTTCAATTGTAATCTTCCGTCACATTCTTACGGCGCAATGATACAACTTTTTGAACTCTCCGGAATGCGTGAGGTATCACGTCGCCTTTGAAGGCGTTTTCAAAACAGCCAAGTTCCGATACCCGGATTATCGTTTTGCATGGTTCATATTATTTTGTTTTCATTTCTAACCACTTGTTTATTCTTAATCCTCATACAAAAACGCACCCATTTGCTAAATACAATTCTAGCTGCAACGCACTTAACCTATGCATTCATGACTGCAAAAATGTGAACGGAAATGGAAAAGGTCAGCGTGCAAGAATGCTATTTCAATTGTAATCATCTGTCACATTCTTACGGCGCAATGATACAACTATTTGAACTCTCCGGAATGCGTGAGGTATCACGTCGCATTTGAAGGCGTTTTCAAAACAGCCAAGTTCCGATACCCGGATTATCGTTTCGTATAGTTCATATTATTTTTTTATATTCCTTGCCACTTGTTTATTTTTAATTCTCGTATAAAAACCACCCATTTGCTGAATACAATAAAGAAATGAGTATAAAAATTTTATCCCGGTGGGTTTTAGTCTTTTTCAATAGACTAACTTAAATGCATGTCAACGGCAGTGGCGTGACTTGCATGGCGATGTATAGATTGATTTGCCATTGACACATATTAAAAATAATCGATAGACATGGTGGCCACAACGAACACCTGCTTAACAATCGATTCTTTACCGTAGCTTCAAATGGGGAAATATCGATAATACATCATTCTCACCTCCCCACTGGTGGACGGTGAAATTGCAAGAAAGGGCAGTTCAATTTCCGACGCTACAAACTTTCTTTAACTGCCATTTAAACCTACCAATGGAAAAGGAATGATTATCGTCCCGAAATGGTTTACTTTTCTACGCAGCGTTTAAGTCTCTCAGCTTTCCTATGGAACGCATCCTTGTCTAGTGGTCCATTGCTAACGGTATTTGTATGCTGTATAGGTCCATGCAGACACTGCAAACGGGGGGGAGGCGGCAGGGGAATCCAGGGACTACCCCCAGAAAAATTTCGAAATTTAAAAGTATCTGACATTCAGTTTGAATCAACTTCGTCATGAAAAATTACCAAACACAAGCGTCCTTCCTTCCTCCAACCTCCAATCCCTCCTTCTTTCTTCCTTAATTCCCTTTTTCTTCTTCCTTTTGTTTATGCGAACGGAGGGGGGGGGGTCTAAAGCCCACCTACGACTCCCCTTAGATCCATCCAACCTATTGTAAATTGGAGCATGTATTGGTAAAATGGTTAAACAATTTAGCTACCTGGACCATGGTGGCGATGATGAGACCGAATGTGAGGGCGATCTTGACAACGTCCAAGAAGTTGTCTGTTTTCGAGAAGGCGATCGACATGCACCCGATGAGCACCAACAGGAGCGTCCCGATGAACTCAGCGATGAGACATCGGGTCAGCATCGGCCAGTTCTTCACGTCCGGCACCCCGATCACTCGCGATATCACTGCAAAAAACAAAAGAATTTATTTGAAAATGGAACCTTAGATTGTTTTTGACAGGAGAAAAAGAAAAGTACCTTTTTCGCGCCCATAATAAATGGAAAAATACATAATCTTCATGATAGAGAGAAAATAGAAAAGGAGAGGGTAAAGATCCACATATTTTGTTAAATGTATCGCTGGAAAATTGGAAAAATTGAATTAAAGGTGTATACAATACCAAATATTACTGATTCTAATTGTAAGTCAAAATAGAGGAATGGAAGTTTGTGGTTTTCGTTTCTTCGTACGATTTAATGTAAACATTAATTTGAAGTCTACGTATAAAATACTAAGAAAAAAACCAAAAAAAATCTCTTTTTTTTAAGAAAATGAAAGAAATGGCAATTTTAAGTTCAAAGAATACTTCTGAAAAAGTTTTGTTTCTTTATTTCTTCTACCAAAAATGAGATTTAATTCCTGCCTAATAAACTCAGTCTGAGTGAAAGGATGCACTAAGAAAATGATTGAAGAATTTTGTCCTCACACATTACTTAAAAAGTCATACTTGAAGTGCTTTACTGCGTTAGATTAGCTCCCTAACATTTTAGTTTAGGATTCCAGCAATGAACAGTTCGATGTACTCAGAATATCTGAACTTGTGAGCGTTTTTTTTTTTTTTTTTTTTTTTTTTTTTTTTTTTTTTTTTTTTTTTTTTTTTTTTTAAATCCATGGAGATCAAATTATTCGGGAGGGCATTGTGTATCAATAAAATGCAAAAATTGATCAAGCATGAAATAGTTAGAATTGACTGTAAGTAACAGCCTGAGTGAAAATTCGTGGAGGCCGCCTTTTTGGATTGACATCGAGCTATTTCACGATTTTGCATTTTAATATGAATGATGTACTTCAATATGAATCATTTTCAGGGATAAATAAATATCCTAAAATTAGGAATTATCAATTGGTCACTTTCTAGTCCAAGGTATAATGAAGATACTGCATTATAGCCGCTGCGTTATAAAAATATCTGCGAGTCATTAGAATCAAAATACTTTTCTAACCCGATGCTGTTCTGGCATTCAAATTGAACGAGAAAGTGGGCGTTAACAATATTAACGCATAATTTTCTCATAGAATTTTGGAGTGGCTCTCCGGCAATCGGCGGATGGATGCCTATCTACATTTGGAAAAAAAAAGTAATAAATCAAGTGATTAGTTACTCGTATCAGCTTTGATGAATGGGGTGTATTTCCTTACACCAGAAATACACGGCTATAAACAGTAGTAGAAATGATAAAAAATGTAACGCTTTTTTATTAACTCTCACGACGCGTGACGGATCAAAATGCCAAAAGTCAATAATCTCATTTTGAGTTTGATTACTACCAGTTCCTCTCTGTTTTTTCGGCAGAATCTTAGGCAATAAATATTTCGCAGATGAAAATAACTCTATTTAACATTAACATTCAATTAAAAACAATTTTAATCGGTTCCGCCCTTAATTCACAACAGTTTTCCCCCAAAAAGTCTGTGAAAAGACACATTACGGTTGATGCAGGATCCAGTAATCACGTTTTACAAATGCTAATGGGTTTTGAAAGGTCAATTGGATCGTTAAAAATACCCTGCGGACACTTCTTTACGAGTAAAAAATGCCCCGAAAATTGGAGCCTCACGATAAATGTTCTGTGCCAAAATCTATTTTCCGCTACTTTTACGATTAAATATCATCAAATTGTACCTATGGCATTGGAAGCAAATACTAGAATCATCACGATTGAGAATACCCATCTTACCACTCGATATTTCTTAAATTGTACATTTCACATGCAGAGAAATTCCATAAAGTTTTTCCCAAGAACTTGAACGAGCATTCATATTGTAGGCTCCAATGCGCGAACAGAGAAAGGAATATTAAAAAAAAAATAATACATTCGAATCATTTTAAGACGAGTTGACCTCACAGCATCATACGTACAAATGCAATGTAAGAGTGAAAACTCAATGCTTAATTTCAAGACACCTGTTTAAACTTTTTTCAGCGCGCAGGGCCTCCGGAAAGTTAGACTTATTTTTCGCAGAACCGCAAAAATGTCACTCTTCATGCCAAGAAATGAAGGCATTCACTTCTGGTTAAGTATTGTCATGCAATTTTCTGAGAGTATTTTTAACTTCACATTCTATAAAATTTAAAACTGGGAAGAACCCTCATTCTAAACATCCAAAGCAAAAACAATGTTTCCGATCGTACAAAGTAGAATTTCGATGGCCTAAGTGTGAAACCACGTATCTCCATTTGTGACGTTGCAGACTGCCTTTCGTATTTTATTTTTCCCTTGAAAAACTAATCAACATAATGTCCTGACAATTTCCTTAGTCTTTCTTCTTTGTTAGCAGAATATTCTGTATGAATTTCAAGCTATAAAAATCACTTGTTTCTCTTCGGAAAAATATAATAGGAGCGAAAATTTCGAAACACTGCAATAATGACACGTGGTTTCACACATTAATTTGCCATCGATTTGTATTTTGGAGGCCTCAACCCCATCCTTTTTTTATTATTTTTTGGATCATCGTTTAATGAAAGCATCTAAAATGAAGGTTAACGATACATTATAGTTGCACTGAAGCCTGCATGCGAACAGTCAGTCGGGGCGCAAAATATTTATTGGTTGTTCGCAGAGGAATGGAGTTTTCATACTCGCAGTCTCTTGTTGTTTCATTATGAAGACAGAAGCTGACATGCATTGACACAGTTGGCGTATCAACGCACGCGGCATGAGATCCGCACATAGTTCGAAATTAAAAGCGAGAAGGTCTCTTTTTTTCTGCACAGAGAAAATATGGCACTTCTAGGGTCATCGCACGTCAGGTCTATATCAAACACCGGTGAGGCCAATTGAGAAATGAATAAACGTAAAATTCTGAATTGATTTTACAATTTCTAGTGCACACAGCAGTGAGTACTCTGTTTTTTTGCAGAGCAACAATCCGTATATGATGTTTTGTAGAAAATGATGGTAATTTTGAAGCATTTAATACGTGCTCAGTGCTCCTTTACACTCTTCGTTTTTTTCAAAATAACGCGCATCCCGCTATTTTAGGAAGTTCAACTCATTCCTGTCGTCTCTGTAACTCTATGCTGGGGCTGGCCTATGTTAAATTCAAAATAAAGATATCGATGGTGGAACTACCAAATCACGTATCTAGTTAGCGGTTTTTAAAAATCTCCTCTCCTATTTTATTTTTTTGAAGAAGAACAAATCAAGATAGTTCCTTAAGTTAAGTAATTTTCCGTTTAAAAAATAAACTACCTCAGGAAGTCTGCAACGTTGCAAACCGAGATACGTGGTCTGGTAGTTTTACCGTCGGTATGTCTCCTACGTCAGAGAAGTGACGATATATGAGGGGCTTGGAGGACAAGGCGCATAAATGCAATTTTTGCTATTTCGCGAAATACGTGTTTAAATTTTCAATATTACAAGGAGCCTGATAGTGGAGATAAAATTGAAACTCATTTTTTGATGCTTGAAAATTGGATCATAGTTGTGCATTTTTCACATGTTATATTTAATGGCTAGTTTTAGTTGAGCCAATTCACATGTATCTCTTTTTTTAAAAAAATAAAAATAAAAAAAAAAAACTAAACTTTGCACTTACTGTCCTCCAAACCCCTCACCTAAGCTCTCTGTCTATAGAGTCACCTCTCCGCGTCATTTTTAGTTATCCGTTGCTCAGGATACGTGCAAGGCAAAATAGTTAATTGAGGACATCGGCAAGTCGTCACTTTCCGGCAAAAGTATCACAGGCGCCATGCAATGTTTAAAAATTTCTGCCACAATTTTATTTTCTTACTGAGTTAGAAATTGTTGGTTGAATCTGTTTAGAAATTTCACTGAATTTTATCGGCAACACAAAAAAAAATTCAGTGGTATTTTCGGACAGCTTCGTTGAACAATTTCTCTTTAAAAAAATTAAATGGCGTTGGAAATTTTTAAACATCACATGGTGTTTGTGATACTTTGGCCGGAAGGTGACGCGGAAAGAAACTCTAGAATATAGGTAAACCCGCCTACCTCAATTGTTTACAAATTTTCATTTCTTTTTTTTCCTCTTGTTTTTTGTTTGTTTTTTTTTTTTGCTTGGCAGTATACTTTAACTGACTTAAGCGATTTTGAAGGAAACACCCACATTTTGACTAAAAATACTAAAATCCGACAACAGAGAATCGATAATTCAATATTTGATGGAAGTCGAAGCGACGAACGCGTGGCGGATCGGCGATGCTTGTAATTCACCGCGCACGACAACAACGCGATAATGATCGCAGCGCCAGTGACGCAATGATCGACGACAAACAGCCAGGCTTCTCGCATCTCCAATCGCACCAGTTAACCCAATTAACGATGGACCACTCCCTCCCCCCCGCCCCCCCCCCCCCTGCTTCGATGGACCCCCTCTTTCTTTCAAGAATATCTCCGTCGCGTCGGCCGGACAATAGACGGCATGCGATCACAATCCGATCGATAATCACAATGAAAATTCGCCACGAACTTGGAGACCCAAGCAGCCCTCCTAAGGAAGAACGCCGTATGAGCCTTCAGAAGTTGCCAAATTTCCTTCGATAAGAACAGAATTTACTGGGGAAAATTTTAAATATTTTTTTCCAAAATTTTCAGACGATTATGTAGACAATTTAATTGAAAATTTCTGAAAATTTCGAAGGGAAATATGCTTACATTTCGTCAAAAATACTCGTTTCACTAGGGGATATTTGGCAACGAATGTTAATACGACGTTCTTCCTTAGCACGGCAGCAAGATATTGTGCGCTTGGCGCTTTGTGCTTTCGGTCTGCAGAAATCTAGGTGTGAGTGTAGGTTGATTTCTAAAGTACTGGTTGTTAAAATGTTTATTTTTTAATTGATTGATCGAAATATGAGCCTTAGGAAAGCACGGAGAACTAGGTGTAAGAGGAAATTAAAGCGCGCTCTTACATCATAGGAGCGATGATATGACTGATT